AGGTCCTAAAAGAAAAACAAGATAGAAGGAATGCCTCTAGGGATACCTATTACAGGGACCCAAACTATGAAATTCATGTGACAGAGGCGTCGAATAATAATTATGTCAAATATCCTACTTATGAGATTCATTTGACAAAGGCTGAAATTGGCATTGAAGTTGACGCTATAGAATTGATAAATATCAAGTTTTACAAATGTCAAGCGTCGAAAAAGCCTCTAGAAAGGGTTAATGGTGTTTAGGTGTAGAATTCAATAACCAAAAGGACACCAAAAGAGACTAAAAAACAATATAATTTTGAACCAAGGCTTACTTGGCCTTGGGGGGCAACTCGTTCGGATCTAAGAAGTCCCAAAAGGCCGAAAGAATTTTCGTTCGATCCTGGAGGGCAAATTGGAATTTTCCACCACTTGGGGTACCAAAGAATAATCGATTAGTAAGATCGATTAAAATTATGGGTTGTTAATTGATAGCCAAATGTGTAAGTTTTGACTGAAATTATCAATTATTTGGTGCTGGAATTGGATATTAACTAGAGGCTAAAAACAATTAACCTCTACACAATTAAGTTTTGCACATAAACCACTTATTTGTTACTTTGGTGGTGATGTGTTATCAGCACCTTAATCGGTTAAGTGCTCAAAATGATCTTATGATGAATATGTCATAACCAGAAAGTGGCTGGAAGAATGCCAACAAACAAAATAGAGAGAGGCTGACGGCACCAAGGTGCTGATTGGAAAAAAACGGTCGAAAGACTGTTAAAAGATAAGGGGTTGATTAACACTGTGAAGGGCCGAATAAAGAACAATTGATCACTATTTAAATTGTGATCCATCATATCAGCTTTCTAAAATTTTGGTTTACCCTCATTTCAAAGAGCTGGGAGGGCATTGTTTACACCCTAAAATAAAATTTAGAATCAGCTACATAGGATGTGCTGATTGGTTGCCCCAAAATCAGAATTTTGCTACATGGCATAGTGTTGGAAGATTGTTGGTGCAGTTGAAATATAATGTGGTAATTTTGTAACTTAATAAAACTACAAAAGTAGTGATATTCAAGCATGTGTTCACACTACATATCAATTCTCATGTGATAAGTTGATGAAGAGGATAAGATGGATAAGTTTGTAGGGATTCAAATTCAAACACTAGAGTTTGAATTTAAATCAAAGAGTCACTTGGTTAGTGTGATACCCCTTGGATCTGAGACACGGGTTGATCAGGGCCAGGCCTAAACCCGAGGGAATATCAAACAATTAATATTTTAAAACGAACACAGATGACAAAATGAAATAAGAATAAATATTAAAGCTGAAAAGAATATTAATACAAAATCCTCAACTGATAAAATTTAATAAAATCCAACTTCCCAAAACCTCCAATTAATTAACAACTCGGGAATCCCTCAAATGGACCCCTAAAATAAAACTCAAACTGGAAAGGAAATAATTGTAATCCAAATCCAAAGCTAAATAAGATAGTAGTTCTACATAGTCGGAGGAATAGAAGTTCGTATCTGCTCTGCACGATCAAGCTCTAACCCTGGAACTGACGTGTATCTGAAAAATAAAAGAGTGGGTCAGGCCCACACGCAAGTCCTGATCTACTACGATCCAAACAGGAATCCGATACGCAGAAACATCTTAGATAGACTTAACAATATCTAGAGTAGTCCATATATGTATAAATACACACTATAGGACGCTCACTAGTCCAATAGGTCTGTCTCAGCCTGAGTAGAGATACCATACAAATCGCACATAATGTGGTCATGTGTACCTAGACCTACCAGGGAACAGCAACTACTGTCCAGCTATCCATCCTAGGCGATATACGCACCCTAACCATGGTCATGAGACTCAAACTCATACCATGGCATCATAACATAAATATATAAAGTCCGTGTCCTCCTAATACAAAATATCATCCATCTGATATAGTAGCTTGATATCTGTATAACAATTCATCCCAGAAATCCAATTATGTCATTTAGTTATTTATTGACCTGACACTAACAGAAGTCGGACTTAACTTTGATTGTTAATCCGAACCTCAATCCAGATTAGGTAGGCTTAGTGTCTGAACTAATCCATACCTAGTATGCCACCATCCCATACCGGTACATACTACCCTCCATTTATCGTAGTTGACAAAACAGTATAAAAATAATTATCAACTACATTCCAAAATAAGCGCAAACACAATTTAACATGTGTAAAACTAAAACATACATCCCAGAAAGGATTTAGAATCCTTATTACAGTCCATTAAATTGGCAAAGTAAGACTATGCACTTAACTCCTCCGAACAGTGCCATAACGGATACAATATAAAACAGATTAAATCACCAGTTAACCCCAACTAAGCATACATATAATTAAACATCAGTATGCTTATAGCACAGCTGTAAACCATGATTCATAATTTTAAGTTATGCAGAGAAATCAAAGTTTCAAAAACGGTAAGCAACATAAGTTAATTCTCCAATCCTTCACCTATGAACTCTCTGTTTAAGCTTAGATTAATCCCATCCTCAATATCTAAATGTAGGCTTGCTTCCCAACAATTTTATAAGCCTTAAGCAGTGAATTACATTATTCAGTAGCACATGGACAGCCTTAGAAAAATCCAGTTTAACCAAACAGACCTCAATTTATCAGTTTTACGTATTAAAGGACAAAGAGAAGGCTCTGAAAACAAAAGAGCCTTCTCCACTTCAAGGAGAGCCTTCTCCATCTCAAGGAAAGCGTAACAGTCTGCAATACGAGTCAATTGTTCAATCCTTCACATACAGATCTTGGTTTGATCTTATGTTAATTCTGTCCTCAATATGCAAGAGTAAAACATACTTCCCAACATTAATACAAGATTTTAGCAATGCATTACACCATTCTGTGACCTTTAAACAATTTTAGAAAATCCTGTTTCGCCAAACAGTCCTAAAAAAAAAAATCTCGTTCTGTGTGTTTTAAGAGAGAGCAGGCTCTTAAAATGGGAGCCTGCTCTATTTTTCATCTAGAGCTGGCTCTAGGCTCTTAAAGCCGGCTCCACAACACCAAGAGCCGGTTCTCCCCTTTGGGAGCCGGCTCTAAAAGGTTTGGGAGCCCTCTCTCCCTCCTCTTAGCAGCCTCTGTTTGTTTCATCTTCCTCCTCTCCGATTCCGATGATCCCCAGTCTTCTGTAGTAGTTTTTAATACATGTTTTAAAGTCCATCTAGATTCCATATTGGTCATAGAACAAGAATATACAACCAAAACTTGAATTGAAACACAAGTTGTTACACAACAGCAGCAAGATTTCAGGTTAAAATTTTTAAAGCAACTAAGAACAGATTTATTTTATGAATTTAATTACAGATTAAACATGCATAACAGATGTAATTAAATCTTAGTTTAATCCCTGGAATCTTTTTAAGCATGCACAGAACACAGATTAAAGGGATAGAATAGAACAGAACTTGCCTTTGAGTTTCAGATTTGAAACTCTAATTCACCGTCTCTGAAGGTTCTATTAATATCCTAGATTGTAGTTCCACACAACCACGCTCCTTCTTCCTTGAGCTGCTCTGTATAACACTCAACTCCACTCTGTGTTTCTTTCTCTTTATTTCTGTATCTCTCTATCTCTCTGTTTTACAGAACGTTGTTATATTGTTCTTGTTTTTCTGTCTACAAACCCTAAACCACGGTAACGCACATATTTATAGGTTTATCCCAGCAACCCTATTCCATGTTTAATTTAGAGACCAAGCCCTAATTCCCCTCCTAATCGGCCCATGAAACTATCTAAGTTCAAATCTACGGCGGCTCACCTATACGTGAAATATAAGCCAAAGTTATAACTGATATCCCTAAATTACAATAGACAAGATAAATCACCATTAAATCACAAATCACAAATAAATAATATAAAGATGTAATAATACAAATAATTCACATAATACAAACAATTAATTCAAATAACAAATAATTCAAATTAGACAAATAATTCAAATTAAATAATAATCACTTAAAGCACCACAATATAAATTAAATTAAACAAATAATCCAATAAAATGACACATAATCAAGTACAATGCAATCAAATAATAAATTTAATTCCAGAAATATCCTCTTTAAAATTTAGGGGTATTACAGTTAGTTAAGTAAATATCATTAACCGATCTGTGATGTAATTATAAATAACGTGGAAGAAGGCCTGTGCAAAGGCCCCCGACCACACCAAATTTCCTATTTTCTGCAATTTCTGTTCTTTTGCAATTTCTATTCTTTCTGCATTTTCTTACAATGTAATTTTATTTGTACTTCTTTTTTTCCATAGGAGTAGTATTATAATAGAATTCTTATTCTTGTACTTTTGTATAAGACTACTTCTTATTAAATAAAGTGGACGCTTGGATCGTGTCTCCTCCATTTTGTTTTTATAAGTTGTTCTTGGATTAGATGGACGCTTGGACAATTTGTTTTGTCTCCTCCATTTATTTCAAAATCTAGAATTGAAGAACGCTTGAACAATTTTTGTTGTTCCCTTCTTTAAGTTCCAGCCTCTGCTGTCGAAAGTCCTCTTTATTGAGGCGTTGAAGAACTTGAAGGAAGGGGTCATCCTTACCTTCCAGCAGTCGCATGATTCACTAAGGGCCGATTTCAGATTCGGTCAGCATCAAGGATAGTTTGGCTATCCAACCTCTTGGGAAAGACTCTGGTACGCCCCTAAAAAAAAATAGCCAAACAGATAGACAAAAAAAGAAAAATATGACATTTATTTTGGGACAGATGAAGTACTATTTATAATATTTTACTTTCTCGTAAAAAAAAAAAAAAAAAAAAAAAAGAAAAAGAAAAGAAAAGAATAAAAGCTTTATAAGAAGTGAACTAAAGAGGCCTTAATTTTTTTTTATTCGTTTATTTTCTTAAACAAATTAAATTAGGTATGGAAATCTGGAGGTCTAATTGAAGTATAGACGAATTTCAGGGTCTAAATAAATTTTATCCATTTATTCCTATTATATCCCCTAACTTGAGTTGTATAGTACTTTCTTTTACTTCCTTCGCTCTGGAAGCGCACTGTTGATTTGCATCTTGTTTCAGTTTGTACGCTTTTGGGAGAGTCGCAAAAATGCTGAGAAGATTGCTAGTACAGGTTTCAAATCAGTGTCGTCGTCCCCTTGCACTTCGACAATGTTGTTCTTCGTTTTCATCTCAAATTCCAAACAGTTCTTTCGTCGAACACTTGGAGGGTCCAAATCAATCCACCACCGAGACCACTCCTCAATCCTCCGCTAAAATCTCCATTGATCGTTCAGGCTTGTACAATCCTTCCGGTACTTCACTCCACTTCATATATATGTACATAGATGTATGTATGCATATGTATTTGTATTTGTTAATGACATGTGTCTTCGATACAAGTCTACCATTAAATGTCGCATTTTGAATTCCAATTATTAAACATTTGCCTTTTGAATTACAGAGCATTCTCACGATTCTTCTTCGGATTCTGAGCTTGTTAAGCATCTCAAAGGCATTATCAAGGTTTAATATTTTTCTTCTTTCTTTCTTTCCCCTGCTTTTGTTACGGTTCTAAATTTTTAAACACGAATGCATAGCTTACTGATTTGCTTTACATTGAAGTAATAAATCGTTTGGTTGTCCCTTGAATATTGAATTGGCGCGTTGTGTTTTAGAAATCAATTCAACAAAGATCAAAGTTCTACAAGCATACCCGAGACTTTCTTTAAGGAAAGCGAAATGTTCAGAAAACGGTGCTCTCATTTGAATTATATGAAGAAATAATATGCTATGGACAATTTAGTTTTCATGGACATAAAAGTTACCTATTTTTTCCTTCTAATTAGTTTGGAATTTGATTCTTTGGTACTGGTGGATTGTCAGTTCCGTGGTGGGCCTATCTCAGTAGCTGAGTATATGGAGGAAGTTCTGACAAATCCTCAAGCTGGGTTTTATATGAACAGGGATGTGTTTGGAGCAGAAGGCGATTTTGTAACCTCACCTGAAGTAAGCCAGATGTTTGGGGAGGTAATTTGATTGTTATTCAATTGTTAAGTTCTTTGTTTCCTCTTAATTCGTTTGGTAGATTCGGAATGTTACGATAGTGGGCAATAGCATCTAAATTTTTTATTAATCTATTATTTCGCTTTGATTCCCATAATTCAAGATTAGTTATCTCGGAGATATTTCCTGTTGATATTGCTTTAGATGGTTGGCGTTTGGGCTATGTGTTTGTGGGAGCAAATGGGGCAGCCTAATAGAATGAACCTAGTTGAGCTGGGTCCAGGAAGAGGAACTCTCATGGCTGATCTTTTACGTGTAAGATACCATATTCCTTTTTGTCTCTCTTTAGTAGCATTCTGTACTTTGATTAAGTTAGAGAAACGTAAACCCAATACTTGAGGTCCTTTCATTTAATTTGTCTGTCGATATTGTTTATAAGTAGAAAAGGAATATTTCAAATTTGAGTTGAAGATGTGCGGTTTTTCCCTGTAGGGTGCATCGAAGTTTAAGAACTTTGCCGAATCATTGCACATACACATGGTTGAATGCAGTCCAACATTACAAAAGCTTCAACATCGCAGCTTGAAGTGTATGGATGAAGATAATACTGGTGCAAATGAAGAGAAAATAATTATTAGCACCTTGTCCGGAACCCCTGTATCATGGCATGCTGCATTGGAGCAGGTTCCATCAGGATGTAAAGCACTGTCTTGAGCTTCGTCGTGTGTTTTATGTATGTGTGGGGTATATTCTGCAAACAAATAGATGGCAATATAGTTTAAGGTGAAATAATATAAGTCAGATAATTTAAGTTGCCAGACTGCCCTAGAAAGTCACTCAAGTTACCTTCATTTGATTTATTTGCGAGTATCCTTATATTGCATACATCAAAATCCTGGAGTTGCTTCCAAGAGAATTTAGAATTAGTTCTGATAGGGATTAATTAGAATTGGTTTAGTATTGATTAGTCAAGAAGATTCTTTGATGGGATCAGAAGTAGTTTCTGGTTCATCTCGCAGGTGCTATGAAGATGAGAAGGCTGAAAGTACTGTGAATTTTTTAGTTGTAAGAAAAAGAATAAACAAATGTCTGAACATATAATAAGCTGGATAAAGTCTGAGCTGAGGAAGCCTGAGTTACATAGTTTTTTGATGAAGGTTTGTGGCAATGGCTTCTTGGTTATGATGTTTACTCATGTATGACACATGGCAATGCTTATTTAAACAGAGCCGAAATGGAAGTCAATAAAAAACTGTAATTCCTTACATATGCACAAACTGCACCTGTTTCCTGTTAAATTGAACTTCTTAGACATAATTATTATATGCTTGTCGTTTGTGATTGAAGATGTTTGCGTCAATTTCCATGCCATTGTCTTGAAATAAATTATGTAGAAAATGAAAATAAAAATTAGCGAAAATAGATTTTTGGGATAACATGCTAGGGAAAAAAACAAAAAATTTGGGGTTCTTCAATGTTTTATAGCCAGCAAACCAGATGCTTCATGGCAGCAAAAATGGTTTTGCAAATGTGTTTGTCTGTGTACAGTGTACACATCTACATATATTTGTTCATGTAAGCTGAAAGTAATTAACGTACATTTTAAACTTCAGGTGATCAAATTTGGTTACAGAGATTGCTTTCATCTCTGTTTAATCTTATGGGTGTTTGTATGCTTTTATTTCAGTGCCAACGATCATCATTGCCCATGAGTTCTATGATGCTCTACCTGTTCATCAATTTCAGGTTTGTATAGTCAATTTGGTTGTGTGTTCAATGATAGATATCTTCCCGTGAGATTGATGAATGAAACCTGCAAAATTAGGGTTGTACCTTGTCTTTTGTGTGCTCCAAAAAATATAGAAAATATATGCTTCTTAAAGTTTGGAGAATTACTTGTCACATGTGGTGGACCTGTAACTGGTCATCTTGTATTTGAGGAATATCAGCATTGTACTTTGCAGGCCTATTTATTTATCGTTACTATTGTTTTCATTCTTTTATTCTATGTTTACAATTAAATATGGAGAGCTTTGTTTGGATATTGAAATTGGGCTGGGATGGGTCTGGCTTTATTGTTATTATTATTATTATTATTTAAATTGATGCAGAGAATGGTTTAAATTTACTGACAGAAAATTGTGGAAGTAGTTGCAATTATCATATAAATTACTAATGCAAAGCTGGGATATTGTCGATTTTATATCCTTCCAAAAGAGCCTGAAAGATAATTAAAGTGAATACTTGAGGTTCAACTATTACTGTCAATTTTTGTATACTATATGAAATGTTCAGAAGTTACTTAAAGTGGTAAATTGAATTGAAGTTGCTGAGAGGATTCGTTAATTGTGTTTTTTGATATAGAGCGTGGTAGGTGTTAACATGGTGGGAAATCCACTTGATAGATTTCTCCATAAATTGTCATGTCTTTAGTGAAATGCTAGAATGTCCAACCTGTTTTCTCCTCTCTATCTGTTGAGCATTGAATTTGGAATATGTTCCATAATTCTATTTTTTTAACTTCCAGTTTAGTTCCAATGATTATAGCTTTGTCTTTTGAAGCTAATATTTGTTCCCTTGAAAATTTTCTCAAAGCCATTTCTTTTCCTAGTATTCTATTAGTGTGATTTGGACAGCTGCTCAAAGCCTCAAACAATACTTGACAACTTGTCATGCTTCTAGGAAAAGTGAACAACAAATAAGGTGAGAATACAGGCCATTGCTTAGTGCAATGATAAAAACTGGGGCTTTCATGTATGAAAATTTGGTTTGTCTTAATCTGTCTCATAGATAGGAAACCGTCTCTGCTTTTAAATGTGAGTTTTCTTCTTCTTCAATCATGTCATGTGAAGGATTGCGGCATCTGATTTGGGTTTGTCAGACACATATCCTATACCCACGCCCATATTGTGTCGTGTCGACACGAATACGTGAAAGGACATAAGAGAGTATGTAACAGATTCTTACACACAATGTATATGCGCACGAAAGAACCAGAAGAGGTTAAACAAGTTTAAAAGTAATGATTATGTGAGTCCTTACCCACTTCTTTTGGACACTTCTACAAGTGTGCAAATAAGTAACCTACACAGATGGACACACAAATGTCATAGGATCTTTTAGTCTGCTACTCATTATAACTCATGTCAGTAGGTGTTGGACATGGGTGAGATGACTTAAGAGTATAAATTGTCAAAATTCGTTAGGAGACATGCCCTACATATCATATGATTTCTTCCTGTGCTCCTAATTGAAATCCTATTATCAAACCTTAGCTTTTACCAGGCACCCCCAAGGGCTTGATATATGCATTGGATATATCAAATCCCCCAAATAGAAGAACACATGGACACTGCTAGATATTCATTGTGTCTAATATAAGTTTTCATTTGTTTTGAATCAATAATATAATAAGTTATTGGATGTGTTTTTTAGGTGTATGTCCAACCAAAAGTGTCCGACACATATGCCATATCCATGTCCAAGTATTGTGTGTCCAACACGACTACTCCATCTAACATAGGGATAATTTTAGCCAATCAAGTATCAAACAGGTGTGAGAGATGATGAAGCTCATTTTCTGATTACTTTCTGTAAACCTTTTGGCATTGGAGAAGTTCATAGAGTGGCCAGGACACTTCTTGTTTCAGATTAAAGAGTTGAAAAGATGAGAACTTTAATGAAATTTGTTGAAGGTGACCATCATAATCTAAATTCGCCAGATTACAACAATATGGGTGGTATGTGGGATAATTATAATGGCTTGAAATTGGTGATTGATCTCTTTAGGTTCTTGGTTCGATACATTAGGTATTATTTATCAGCAATTTTTTTTGCAAAATCTGGCTACTAAGCCTATCTTGTTTTTAGAGATTTTGTTGGAGACCACCTTTCTTTCTTGCTTATGTATTTTTATTGGGTTCTTCTTTTTGTGGAAATTTATTTATTTTTCCTTTTATTTGTTCAATTATCTTGTTTTGTACGTTGGAGAAATACTATTCTTTGTCGAACTTGTTTCTCCTCTTTAGTGTGATCTTTGGTTCTCATAAAAAAAGTTGTTGCTTCTTGTTTCTTTCTGTGGCATGTTTATTGCTCACGTATTCTCTTATGCATCATTCTGATTTCATAATTTGTCTATAGAGAGCTTCTCGTGGCTGGCGTGAGAAAATGATAGATGTTGCAGAAGATTCATCGTAAGGTTTCTAATCCAGTAGGTCAATATTGGTATCTAGCAGAAATTTCTTCTAGAGAAAATTGATTTTTTTTTTTTTCTTTTTCTAGGTTTCGTCTTGTTCTATCTCCACAGCCTACGCCCGCAACTCTATTTCTAATGAAGCGCTGCAAGTGGGCTGTGGATGAAGAAATAGCTAAACTTGAACACATTGAGGTTTGCCCCAAGGCAATGGAGTTGACTCAAACAATTGCTAAAAGAATAAGTTCTGATGGAGGTGGGGCTCTCATAATTGATTACGGCCTAAAAGGAATAGTCTCGGATAGTCTTCAGGTCTGGTGCCACTGGCTCTGTTAATTATATTCTATTGTACTTTATTAGACTGGAGTATCTGTTTGTTTCCTCCATCTTTAAATAAATATTTAATATTGCGGCTTGCTCTTTGTTTCCTTTGGCTACTTATCCATTTTTGTGGACTACATTGTCAATTTTTTTCTATTGGATTAGAATTAATTTATGCATTTAAGGGTTTCAGGGTTCAATTTAGCAAATAAATTCATGAAAAAGAAGAGAGACTGCTTTTTGGAAAATTATAGTTCTCAGGTTGCAGAGCTCTCTCTCTCTAGCTACTTTCTGCATCATCTGGTTGTAGAACTCTTTGTCCATGTAGTGGCTTTAGATCAGAATGTGCTTTTTGTTCCTCCAAGGACTTATAATTGAATTTTCTTTTCATATTTAAATTATAATATTCTTAAACAATACTAAATGCTTGTAGGCAATTCGTAAACATAAGTTTGTCAGCATGCTGGATGATCCTGGGTCTGCTGATCTCAGTGCATACGTTGATTTTGCTGCTATCAGACACTCTGCTGAAGAAGTTTCAGGTGTAAATTGTTCCTCATTGCTCTACTATTTTTTTATGTTCAACTTTGTTTTTTTGGAAAAACGTACTACTGAACAGAAACAGTTGTAGATAATGTCAATATTGATTCCAAAATATTCAAAATTTTTGTAGAAGATGTGTCTGTTCATGGCCCGATCACCCAGTCTCAGTTTCTTGGTTCTCTTGGGATAAATTTTCGAGTTGAAGCACTGCTAGAAAACTGCACTGAAGAGCAAGCCGAGTCTCTGAGGACAGGATACTGGCGTCTGGTGGGCGATGGCGAGGCTCCATTTTGGGAGGGACCTGATGAGCAGGCACCCATTGGGATGGGTTCTCGATATTTGGCAATGGCTATTGTGAACAAGAAGCAAGGTATTCCAGTTCCATTTCAGTAAAATTTGACAGAAGTATGGAATTGGGTGACATCTGATATTGTAAGCTTATGTAAATGACTAATATAACATCTGATATTTATATATTGCAAGTGTTCAGCTTTTGCAATTTTGGGTAATTTTTTTTTACCCTCTAGTTTGATGTATTTAGCGTCATGTTCTAAATGGTTATGAACTGGCGGAGAGGTGAAGAAACCATATCAATAATGAAGAGCGAATGCTAAATTTACTTCAAGGATGGAGGCAGTCTTTATCATGGAAAAGTGTGTTAAAAAATATTCTATATATGACCTCATCTCATATTATAGAAATGGATTTTGGGTGTAATTATAACAGAATTGTCAGTACTGGTCTTTTGTAATTTTTTGTTTTCAATGCTCTTTTGTAATTTATGCTCATTTGGTGCTAATCTGTGTAATATTTTATTTCTTTTAAGTACAATAAACGAAAAAATGGGAAGAAAACTATCTAGTTTTTAGCAACTTGCTGATGATATATCTGACTGCTTCATTAATACCAAATTCTCCTTTTAATTTGGTTGTCGTTAAAGTACCTTATTGTAGGCTGCATTTGTTAAATGAAACTGCACACAGGACATTCTTTACTTTGATGCACGTAATCAAGTAAATACATGTGCATGTGTGTAGGACCATTTTTATGCATATGTTTACACATACGTTTCTATATATATAGTCATGTTTATGGTCTTTAGGATCTGTGAGTTTCAATTGTGTTCAATCTGCGTCACATTGAATCTGACCTGTTGACAGCCGTCTCATATGTCGATGTATTTATGAAAAGTTGTTTTCAAAACTTAACCAGCTTACTAATGTGAAAGCAAAGTGGTTAAAGAGTCCTGATAAAATAATGTCATGGGATATTTACGTGAATATATTTATTAACATTTTATATTTTGTTGTTTTAATGTGCAAACTTTGTCTGTTTAAGTAACATTACTCTATATTTATATATGAATATGTGTATTCACTGTTCACACACACATAATCTAAAAGTTCAGGCTCCTTTAGCTGATTTAGCACGGTTCTTGGCATGGTATCAAAGTATGGGTAATGGAGATCCTTTGGCCTCAAAAAAGCATCGACCTTACATTTTAAATGGTATATGTGCATGAATGACTTTCTTGATACTCTGTGCAGTGTGCACCCAAGAAAATGGAAAGGGACCACATGGATTTGAATAGGTGAGCCATGTTGATTGTGTGAGCGCAAAATCGTACATCAAACGGTCAAGATTCAACTGAATGATTTTATTTTTATTTTTTATTTTTACCTGTATTTCCATTACGAATAAGTGGATGGTACCTGCATGTAACATGATGTCAAGGCACGTTGGAGCTCAATTCAGCGTTCATCGAAATCATCCACATCCAACCAAGTAGGTATATGATTAAAGAACAATATTATTTGGACCTATTCTCTAATCAATATGTGCAGTCCAAGCCTATCGATATGAGAATTTAAACTATCCAATTTATCGGTGTTATGTGAATAGATTGAGTGAAGGTCTTATTTATACATAATTAAGAGAGCTCGAAAAAAAAATATATATATATATACCACCTGTAGTATGAGAAGCCCACACAATCATAAATTTTCCTAGATCCTTTTTTCACAACTGATAAAATACTAAAACAAAAAAGTCTTTGACTTTTTTACCCTCAGCTGAATGCAAATTGTAAGATTGAAATAGATGTGACATGGATATAGATATATATTCCACCATCCACTATTAATCTACTTTACTGTGTCCACAAACAAATAAGAAAAGACTAGTTACCCAAATTTTATTAATCTTGTATAATTATTCAGTCACTTTTACCAGTAATTGCCAGAAAAGTTTTTCCACTTTCAGGCAGGGCTCTCAGCTATGCAGTTTTAGTGTATAGTTTATTTTCTTACCTACTTTCATCTGCACACATTCTGTCAATTTAGATGAAGATGGTTAAATATTTTCATCACGTCTCCCAAAAGCTTCTCAATCTAAATAAAAATGGTTAAATTTTAACACCACATCTTAGCTAGCCAAAATTTAATCAATTTTCACTTTTAACTTCACAATACTTCACAATTTAGATGAAAGATGGTTAAATCTTCAAGCAATTTCAAGAACTCTAGTTCGAATACTCAATAGGTGTCACATGTTGGATGGCCTAAGAGCCTTACCCAGGGAAAAGTAATGGGTTAGGAAACTTTATCGTCAAATTTTATCACCACATCTTAGCCAAAATTTAGTAAGTTTTCGCTTTCAATTTTGCAATTTAAATGAGAATGGTTAAATCTTGGAGCAATTTCAAGAAGTCTAGTTGGAATACTCAATAGGTGTCACATGTTGGATGGCCTAAGAGCCTTACCTAAGGAAAAGTGATGGGTAAGGGAACTTTTATCTTTGAATAGAAACAATGAAAGAAAAAATAACATTTTCAAAGGGGCTATTTTTGGAAGAGAACCTTTGAGACAGTGTCACCTTTCTCTCTATTGTATATTAGTGTCCCTGTAATCTGTATATAATAGTAACACTTGGACCAAAAAAACACAACGCAAAAGAAGGCCATACAATTCATTGGGAACAACCATGGAGGAAGAGAAAATTGCTTCATCTGATGAACCAGTCATCAACTATAGAGGAGTCAAGGCCATGCCATTTATCATAGGTGAGGAAGAGAAATAGAGAAATACACAGATTTATTTCACTTACAATTATGCATATATCTTTTTTTTCACCTAACTTTTGTGTGTGTGTGCAGGAAATGAGACCCTTGAGAAGCTTGGGACAATAGGTACTTTATCAAACTTGATGGTTTATCTCACCACTGTCTTCAACATGAAGAGTGTCACGGCTGCAACGGTTATCAACATTTTCCATGGCACCACAAACATGGCAACCTTGCTTGGAGCCTTCCTCTCTGATTCATACCTGGGACGCTATAAGACCTTGGTTTTCGCTTCCATGTCCTCTTTCTCGGTACTCTTCTGCTTCAACCCTTTTTAAAAAGTCAGCATGTTTTTCAGCTCAATGCTCAAGTTCATAGAACTCAAACAAAGATAGCATTCTAATTCTATTTATTTGATGGAGCTTTTTTTATTTTTATTTTATTTATTTATTTATTTATTATTATTTTATAAGATCTTTTTGTTTCCTATATTATGTTATTTTCCTTGAGATCTTACAATTTTGTTTCTAAATATTATTAATATTCTGCTTAATGTAAGAAGAACCACATCTATTACATAACTCGAGCATATTGTTATCTGATCTCTCTCTATCTGAAACATGTTTTTATTGCAAATGGAGCCCTTAAGAAAGTTAACAGCACAACAATGTCAATTTTATTTATTTATCTATTTATGATCATAGAAGAGTAATCTGGGTTGTATTGCAACTCCTAGGTCTTATTTTAATTTCAATTTTCACAAAAGATATAAATACCCATCAATTCAAAGTCAGGTGTCAACATTCATATATGTCATTTTGTAAGTTCTCAAATTACTATTATCAGGGATTATTTTTTTTTAATTTCTCTTTAGTAGCCAATTTTTGGAATTAATGTCTCAATCTCGTTTTTGTGTTTTAAGGGGTTGATAGTGATAATGCTAACTGCAGCAATCTCCAAACTGCATCCACCACATTGTGACACAAAACACATTGACACATGTGTTGGTCCCTCAACTTGGCAATTGATCGTCCTAATAACCGGTTTTAGCCTTCTGATAATCGGAGCTGGTGGAATCCGGCCATGTAACCTAGCCTTTGGGGCCGACCAGTTCAATCCGGGGACTGAATCCGGGAAAAGGGGCATCAACAGCTTCTTCAATTGGTACTACTTCACATTCACATTTGGCGTGATGGTGGCTGTTACATTCATAGTGTATGTGCAAATTGAAGTGAGCTGGGCCATTGGTTTGGCCATTCCAACATGCCTCATGTTAATCTCGTGTCTACTTTTCTTTTCGGGTTCAAAATTATACGTTAAAGTGAAACCTGAGGGAAGCCCTTTGACAAGTGTGGCACAAGTGGTGGTTGCAGCCACCAAAAATCGACGGTTAAAGCTGCAAAACCACCCATCTCTTTGTCTCTTCAACCATATTCCATCTAATTCTATCAATTCCAAACTTCCTCACACAAATCAATTCAGGTGAGACTAATATACATATACATATATATATATATATTACATATATGAATTTATACACGACTTGTATGAGCTAGACACTGATTAATGATCAATTCATTAGGTTCCTAGACAAGGCTGCAATTATAAGTGGTGAAGACCTGATTAACTCTGATGGATCAGCCATGAATCCATGGAGATTGTGCAGCATACAACAAGTTGAGGAGGTAAAATGTGTAATGAGAGTGGTTCCGATATGGGCATCAGCCATAATCTACTACGTCGCGATGGTCCAACAAAACACCTATGCAGTCTATCAAGCCCTGCAATCCGACAGACACCTAGGTAGCAGTTTTGAGGTACCGGCAGCATCTTATGTGGTAGTCTCAATGCTGACTCTCACCGTCTGGATTCCCATCTATGACCGGATGTTGGTTCCTTGTCTTCGGAAGATAACTGGCAAAGAAGGAGGAATTACACTTCTCCAGAGAATGGGTATTGGAATTGCTCTCTCAGTGTGCACTATGCTTGTCTCTGCCCTGGTTGAACAGAGGAGGAAACACATTGCCCTTACAGGGCCAACACTAGGCATTGCACCGAGAGGAGGTGGTATATCATCCATGTCTGCATTGTGGCTCATTCCTCAACTAGCACTTGTTGGACTAACTGAAGGTTTCAATTCCATAGGCCAGATTGAGTTTTATTATAAGCAGTTCCCGGAGAACATGAGAAGCATCGCGGGGTCTTTCTTCTTCTGTGGCATGGCTTGTTCGAGTTATCTGAGTGGGTTTTTGGTCTCTGTTGTGCACCGAGTCACGGATGGTGGTCCGACAGGGGAATGGTTGCCGGAGGATCTTAACAAGGGGAAGCTGGATTACTTCTATTACATGATTGCTGGTATGGGAGTCCTCAATTTTGGGTACTTTTTGGTTTGTGCTAAGTGGTACAAATATAAGGGTGTTGGTGGTAACAGCTTTGAGATGGCCATGGAAACAAAGCAATCTGAGAAGACCATTGTTGTTTGAATGTGTAACTTTGTATGGAATCATATGTTAACAAATTATGTGAACTCAGATTAGCATATGGGAAGGTATAGGATAGAATGCTAACATTCAAAAGTAAGGACAATGTAGCAGTATTTATTGGAGTTATTTGTGTGCCTAAGTTTCATTTCTGAAATTATAACATGCCCAAGTTTTCCTCGCTTTCATTGGGCTGTTGTAACCCAACCCAGCCCAACTTCTTAAACTGACATATATATGCCCATTGCGGGAAAGATATTCAGTGCATCGGGCTAATGAGAGCCGTGCATGCACGGGCTGGACTAACAAACTTTTGATCTATAAGTAACCAGAACCAGTAGGCCCATGGTATCGGGCTTAGTGGGTCCATTTTTATAGTGGGTTCCTCTATTCGTTAGCGGCCCATATGTGGCTATGTGCCCTTGACATCACTATACCGAGTGCTAGTGCAAAGTTAATAAATTAACCAAATGATTAATTGGCCTAGCGTATCACCCCCTCCTCCTCAAAGGGGAGGTCGGGAATTCGAACTTCGATCGAGGAAGAGTGTGAGAGTAATTGCTTTAATTTTCCAAAAAAAAAGTTAATAAATTACTTGCTTGAGAATTAGAACCAATTCTATTTTCACGTTATACAGCAGAAGGGTTTAAAATTATTATTGATATACCACCAAAATAATCATGAAAGACATTTAATTCTTTTGTTCTTTATTTGTCATGAATGGATCCAGGAAATTGGATGAGGGGAGGGGGGCAAAGGTGAAATTATTTTTATAATTTCAGAGGGGCAACACTAGAATTTCATAAGTATATAAATGTAATATGAAAAAAATACTAATATTTAATGTTAAAAAAAAAAAATCAGGTGGAGGGCAATTGTCTCCCCAAGAGCCTCCGTAAGTCCGTACCTGTTTATTGCAGATAATATTTCCGGCAACTGCAAATTAATTGCAGTTCTAGCATCAAAACAATTTCAACAATAACGGAAGACATTTTAGTCCATCAAGACAAACTTGTTCTTGTGGAAAATAAATCTAGATACATAACGTACAGAGATTGATTCATCACAAAAATATTAATCTTTCAATGTACTCGTGGCGGCGGGAAATAAATTTTGTCCTGGTTTGCCTTACCGCCACACCCCTTATCAGCTTTATTTGGTGGGCATGAAATAAATTTTGTCCCTTTAGCATTGAGACACATATATATCTCAAAGAGTAAGGTACGATTGTTGTGAAGATCAGTTCTGCATGACACATAAACATTATTAATTTTGGCGCCAACTCCCTTTTGAACAGCTTTCTGGATGTCTGCCTTATTGTAAGTTTTAGTGTTGCTGGGAGTTATGTTGTGATCTTTGAGGTAGCTAGGAACATTAATTTTGTTGGTCGGAGCTATTGCCACATTGAAATAGTTTTGCGCTGACTCGTGAATTGACAGTGAACAAATTCCGTGTGTGTCCCATGTTGAGATTTTATTTCTTATAGTACAGCTATAGGATTGAATTATTTACTCCTTAATTTATGGTTAATTGGTAGGTGATTAGTTACCTATTTTAGTTAAATCATATTCTATAAATTGGATGTAATATCATCAATGAAAGTATCAAATAGAGTTTTAATTCTCATATTCTTTTTTTGAATTTCAAGATGGTATCAGAGCCATCATTGAATCGTACTTGAACATACCTTCGAATCTCTTTGAATTTATTTTAAATTCATTGAGACATACACATACACATATCCTTACACATACCCATACACATAACCATACCCATACAAATACGACAGACCCCTCACATACCGCAGCCGAACTGCTGCCTGTGGCCGCCGGCGATCTTCCATCGCCGGATCTGGATCTTCTGTGAACCACTGCCTGCCGGTAACTTCAAACAATGACGACGTTGCCAAAGTTCAACCGAACCGCTGCCGATCTCATCTCTATCGTTGCTACCTCGACTGCCGTCGCATCACCGGTTCATAGCTGTCGCCGAAGTTTTTTCATTCTTGCCGGATCGGATCGCATCTCTGCCGCTGCCAATCGCGCCAAGCAGCAGCCATCACGAGCCGCTGGCACCACAAGCCACAGCCATCACAAGCCACAGTCGCACCGGTGTGCCGCTGCCGGCGATCTTCCGGCGATTTGCTGAAGCCACAGTTCAGCCACTGCCCACCGTCCGCCGCTGTCATCTCGGCTGAACCGAACCAGGCTGTGATCGGCGAACAAGGAGAAACACCCACAACCACCTGTAATGTTCTTGAATTTTGTCATTTTTCAAAATTTGGAATTTTCTGATTTTCGGGGGTATTTTATTCTCTTTCTCGTTTTACGTGCCGGACATCATGAGGTGTGCCGGCTGTGTTCGAGAGTTGGGTGGGACATTTTCCTGAGTTCAGGACTCTTGAAAATGCACTGGTTGTCATCTCGACTTTTCTCCGTTGTTCGGGTCGGATAGTCCAGGGTGGGACCCGCTACCAGAGTCGTTGTGTACGGGAATTTTATCTTTGGTTCATTGCATACTATATGTAATTATTTTGTGCATATTTAATGTGGTTGTGTGCTATTTTGTATAGATATATGCATATATGTGTGTGTAGTGGGAAATAGAAGGAAAAAGAAAAGTCAAAAAGGAAATTTTGAAGTGGGACCCACCATTAGAGATTTTTGTGATTTGGAGACCAACATTGGCCTCATTCTCCTTCTCTCACCCGGCACTAGCTCTCTCTCCCTCTTTTCTCTTCATTTTTCTTTTCTTTTTGGCTTCAAGCTTCAATCTTCAATTACTTTTTGGCTTCAATCTCCAAGAGATGAAAAAGTAATTTTTGAAATTCCTAATTTTTGAAATTCCAAGCTTCAATCTTCGAAATTCCTACGCTTGGATAAGAGCAATTCACACTTTTGGCCATCCTAGGAATTTCAAAAATTAGGGCTTTGGTTTGGAATTTTGGGGGTTTTCATCTCCATTGAGGTAAGGGTGTTCTAATACATGAGTTCTTGTGCCATTTGTGAGTTAATTCTTTATAAATTGTTGAATTGCATATTTAATTAGTTTAAGTTCTTGCAAATGGTTTAAATGATAGATATAGAATATATGTGACTAATTGTTAGTTGTTTTATAGTGTTTAAACATGCTTACATGAGGTTGATTCCATGTCTTATATGCTTGTTAATGCTTGTTATGCAAAGTTATAGTTAAATGAGAACTTTAATTATGTAGTTTGGAAATTTGCCTTATGGTGGAATTGATGAATTGAAGTATAAAACATTCCATGCATTCATTGGGATAGAAAAGGGGAAAAATGTCTTTAAAACAAGTGAAATTGTTTTGGGAAAAGTTTTCTAAAAGTGTTTGCGAAAACCCGGACGCTTAAGAGGCGCCTAGTGGTCCGTGGTATTAGTGTAATCTAGAGGGGAGTATGGTTGAGCTAACCAGGCTGGATGCGACGCCTTGGAGGTGCCTTGTGGTCGTGGATGGTTAGCCAATCCTCCTTTCGTAACGCCTTGGAGATGCCTTGGGTCAGATTATGCTAACGGTTTGAAAGTTGAAACGGAAATGTTTCGAATATGGGGAGCGACATTTGCATGACATTGCATTTCATTAGAATATATGGTGTGTATGTGTTTGGGTGACAATTGTTGTATACTTGTTGCTGTGGTTGTTACTATTTATCCCTATGCTATGATCCCGTTTTCTTCTATCTATTCCTTACGTGGATTCACGGGGTCATAAGAAGTGTGTTTTAGACACTTCCCACTGAGCGTTTAGCTCACCCCATTATTTTAACATTTTCAGGTTTTGGAAAAGAAGTGGCGGACGACAATCCTCCATAGTCTTAGTTGGATTAGAAGAATGTATCTTTTTGCTACCTTTTGTATTAGGCCTCATTTTGTAAAATGTTGACCTAAATGTATCATTTTATAGCATGTGAAATATTTAAATTCATTTTGTATATGGCCATTGGGGAAATGTAATTATGTTTATTTACATTAAATAATTTAGTGTATTTCATGTAACGTGTTGTAAATTATGTCAACGTTGTTGTTGTTGTTAATGTATTAGATGTTGAAATGTATTTATGGGTATGGTGTGTAGGGTGGTTGGTTATCAATGTTGGTGTATCTCGGACAGTGAAAATTTCGAGTGTGGATAACCCAGAACCAGTCAACGTAAAGTTCCCATACGTCGACCGGATGACCTGAACCAGTCGACGTGTCCAGTCGACGTGTAGCCTCCCACACGTCGACCGGTATCTTGGCAGTAGCCTTTTTATTGTATACGTCCCAAACCAGTCGACGTGTAGCTTCCCACACGTCGACAGGTATCTTGGCAGTGGGCTTTCTACTGTGCACGTCCCAAACCAGTCAACGTGTGATCCCCATACATCGACCGGTTATGTGTAGTAAACATTTGTGACTTATTTTCCCATTTTGCCATTGACCACTTACTTAAGTGTATTGTTACACATTATACCCGACTCAATAAAATGCAATAATTATATTTTAACCATAGAAAAGACAATATTGCTCCGGACCTTATCTTATTTATTATGTGACTCAAGTAAATGACTATTATGCCTTTGAGTCTTAAACCACTAGAGTTGTGACAAATGACCTTGTTATCCTTATTGGATTTTTAAAATATTAGTTTAACGTGAAAGGACCGTATTACCCTCGAATGATTTTGGGTCGGACAAAGACTCGTTTAATGATCCAGACCCAGTGGATTCGGGTCGTTACAAATTTGGTATCAGAGCAATGGTTTGAATACTATTTGGACGACGGGTAGAGGCCTACCTAGGATTGCATGGGGAGTTAAGTATTTGTTACTTGCTCAATTGCTTATGTGATTGCATGCCTATATATTTATGTGTTAAGGTGTTTAATCATTTGAAAGACATGCTTAATTGTTTAACTGCTTATATAATTACGTGCTAAGTGCTTAACGTTCTTGTATATTATTAGCATGATCATGCTTATCATTGGTGGGATTTCTTTTCCGGGAGTATGGAAAGTGTTTAAGTGTTGTCATTTCTTGTCGAGTCAATTGTGTGAGGACTCCGTTCTTGAACGCGTGTATGTGTCATCGTTTTTGATCCGTTCTCTCGTTTTATAGCGTCATGCCACCAAGAAAGGATCTCGGGTAAAGTTCCAGCTCCAATCC